TTTTTTTTTTTACTCAGAGATATGAAGTAAGTAAATGATTACACTAGGTTTATAAATACATCACATCTCGGATAGAAGATTGCTGATCTTTCGGAGCTCCTTCAGTGCGGCCATTGCCGTGACTTGTCCTTTCCCCACGAGACCATTCTTTGACAAATTCTCCAAGGATACCGTTTGATTCCGATTATCCTGCTGGAACACAGACTCTATCACCTGCACACGCTCAAAAGACAGGCAATTTAAGAATTTTCCGGCGAGCCCAAAATCAGGTTACGGTAAAAAAAACACCAGCTACTGCCTATCAATATATTCAGAAAACAAGAAAGAAATCAAACTTATTAGCACAAACAAAGTTCTGAAGAGATTCAGCTGAGATTCATACCTGAATGTTCTCAAGCATGGATTGGCCAAGATTTTTCAAGCTAACCATCAAGTTCTGATCGACTGTCTCACCCTTGCTCGTCCCACAAGAATGTTCACACCCAGCGCCACTCGACACCCCCACAGCTTCATGACCATCACCATTTAAACCCTTCCCATCCATAGAACCACTTGTTCTCTCAGATGTCCCCTCTCCACCATTCCTACCGAACTTCCACAGCCACTGAAACTTACTCGACAGCACCTTTCTCTCCTTGGGGGGAGCCCCAATTGCCAGTTTCTCCAAAGACTCGCCATTTTCCATAATTTGAGAAGACAATCCTTCAGGCGGGTCCGAGAGAGGAAGTGGAGAACATTCCAGATTGGTCACACACGACACAGAATCGTTGTCATCCACTAACGAGTTCGACCTAACACTGATCTCGCTCTCATCTGAGAAACTGGAAGAACTCTCTTCGCTTGATGCAATTTCGTAATTATTCTTGTCCGCCGTAACAACATCTTCAACAACAGCGCTAACCTCAATCGACTCTTGAAGATGTTCGCTATTATCCTGATTACACTCTATAACCACGTCTTGGCCCTCATCTGAACCGAGCTGCCGTGCAAGATCCTCAAGCAAATTTCTTCTGACGGACGGCCTCGGGATTCTGTTCCTTTCCTTCTTCTTCGACGGGATAGGGTCGGACTCAGTTCTCGAGAGGCGGAACCCCACCTTTTCAGACCAACCTTTCTTACGGTAAGGAACTTCTTCCACTTTCTTGTGCTGTTCTTCCTTTTTATCCTTGTGCAAAACCCTCCACTTCTCTTCCCAGTAGCTGTCAGCCACCATGCTCAGAGGTATTGTCCCTGTGGAGGCTGAGTCCAGGGATAGGCTATGGCCCCTGTTTGCGAGCACAGACCTAACTGGCACCGAGGCGGAATCGTTCGACCTCAGTGCCAGCTCATGCAACTGCTCCGCCTTGTCCAGAAGCTTCTCAATCCCAACATCGTCCGGGAAGTTGAGCAGCCTCTGAAGGCAGACGGTAGCATTCTCGGTTGCCAGCAGGGAGGACCTCAAGTGGAGTATCATCGAGATCCCAAACGCACACACGAAGGCTCCCCTGTGCGACTCGAGAATCCCAAAGTTCGCAGGCCCACTACCCGTCTTCGTGTTCTTCCTTGCGAAAATCTCGTCCCATACAGATAAAAGGTCCTCGAGTGAGAACTCGCGGCCAAAGAGCACGCGCAGCCAGCGGAGGGCAAAGTACTGCGGCTCTACCCCGAGCTCGACGAGGTGGGCGTGGAGGGATGGGTCGGAGATCGAGAGCAGGTGGTAAAGGGCAACAGAGGCCTCAATCACCGGGGAGTGGGACCCACCTGAGGGTGAGTGGATGAAGAAGTCGGACATGGCAAGGGCCCCACCACCGCCGCCGAGGAGGGAGTCGAACATTGCATAGGCGTCGTGCTCGAGGAACTTTTCTGACGCGACAATGCCGAGTTCGCCCTCAGCACCGTACGAGTCGCTCAGCAAAACGAGGGTCCGGGTCTTAGGGTCGAGCTCGTCGGGGGTCCGGGCCCGGGCTGGGCTTACGTTTGGGGAGCCGGTAGCGTCGGTGGGGTCGTCATCAGTGGGGTCGGAGAATTTCTTGAAGTCGAATTTGTAGGAGAGGTCATTCTCGTGGAAGGAGAACGTGTCGAACTTGTCGGGAAAGTGGTCGTCGTGGATTTTGCAGATTTCCGAGAGGCGCTGGGCGTCCACGTGGAGGACGTACAGTAAGGGAGCTAGGAGCTCATGCATTCCTGCAAAATATATATAGAGAGATAGATAAGGAAACAATATACAAGTACACATAGCCAATACTTTGAGGATCCTCGGCTTTAAGATATAAGACAAAAACTTATTACTTATTAGATCTCGAAAAAAATATATATTTTTTGATTTTTGGTAAAATAAAGAAACAAAACCCGGGTTTCACTCTTTGTCCGCCCAAAATGTGTCATAATAAGTACACCATGGATCAATATCACACGACAGATAATTTTTTTAAAACTAAGGAATGGCGGACCACCGTAAAAGTAGTGTTTCTCCTGAAAGTCATTCCTTTAAAAGGTGGGACGACTATTTCACTTTGAGCAACACCAGAATCATCAACATGCCAACACCACAAGACTAGTTTTTACTGTACCTTGTCTGTAGCCATACTCTGGATGTCGAAGGCACCAAAGCAGTAAGATTCGTCTTAATATGGCTTGGCAACTGCTTTCCTGGAAATAGCCAATTCTTTCGGGATACAAACGTGTTAAATCTTGATCAACCATTCTCTCCAGTTCAGCATTTCTGAAGAATCGACCCCACATGCTGTCTGGGATAGAGAACAATCACAAACAACACAACCAATTAGAAATTTGCAGCTTAAAACAAAGCAATAACGCAACTATCTTTGGACCTTGGGTACTCTAGCAATGGGAAACAGTAAAGATGACATCTCACAGTTTTCCAACTCCGAATCGAGATTTAAAAATGGGTTATCACAATGTTATACCACAATGTTCAAGTGGCATAAGCAGTGTTGGATAGGGCTTGAAATCCTTACTCTTTCACTTTCTTTAACTATTATCTCATACACACACTTCCATGCAAACTACGATATTCAAGAAAATTGAAACATAATAACATTAAGGATAGATAATTTACCTGGGTTTTGAGACAATGGATTGTCGATCACAAAATCAGGAGAAGTACTTCCATCTTTTGGCACATGTGTATCAACCAGAAGCTGTCTCCTCAAAGCAGCATACCTGCATAAAATCATAACTCTAATTTGAGATTTACGTAAGCCTTACATTGTCCAGGACAAATTTCCCTCCAGCTTCCTTGTAGTTTGTATTTAGAAAATGACAATGAGATGATTAAACATTTTGACATGATCAAATTACCATTACCTCATAAACCAGCAGAAAGAAACTTAACCCATTAAAGTTGATTTTACGTTCACCTTAACCGAATTTGGGGGCGAACACTTCTTACTCGAGTTTACAAACACTTCTTAACAAGCTACCCAATCATCAGAAAAACTGATGGTTGCCCAATAATTTTATCATGATGACAATTTAGTAGAATCTAGTACAAGATAACATACTAACATAGTCTCTTTAATCCTCATAAACATCTTTATTCAATGGAAAGCACATATAGACCTAACAAACACTTCATTAAGATTATAGGACTACAAAAGAATCAAATAATAAACTCAAACAACCCAAATGCAGAGTCAACTACATATACCTCCTCCTCGAATCGGCCGTAACCCGACGAAGATCATCGATGGAAGCCAATGGACAAGATGGTAAAATCCCCAAATCTATGCGCCATTGTACCCCTCTAAGATCTCCAAAGCAGCGACGAGGGACTCTTGAGCACGACCCTGGTTCAGTCTTTGCAGCATTTATTGAAACCGTTGACATGTGTTATGGTGTTGTCTTCAAGCTCCCTTTTCTTCTTTCTTTCTTTCTTAAAAGCTTGCTGGCAATCCTTTCAGACAATCTCGGACTCTAAAAATTACCCAAAAAATTGTTAAGGAAAAAGATGTTTCACCATACGAAGCCAGAAAAATTCAACCTTTCGGCCAAAAATTATAGAATTGCTAAATTTGGCGAAGACCCAGTTGCCCAAAACCCATCAAGATCATCTCTGTTTGTGAAATAAATTGGATTTCTGCAGACCCTTTTCGGTCACAAAAAAAAAAAAAAA